GAACCGGGGAATAACTCGACGTTTCGAACAGTGTACTCTGTCCGTCTTCAGGAGACTGTTAATATAATATAATATATAATATTATAATAATAATAATAATTAATAATAATAATTAATAATAATACTCATCCAATAACTAACCCAGCTCCCAAGTAAAGAAATTCAAGGATTTCTACTTTTTCCCCCAGAAATATTTAACAGGTTCCTATATACGTAATTTTTATCCTGAAAATCGGGTCCTTGAATTAAGCCCAAAATTGTCTTTTCGAACTGCACCTTCTTCACATGACAGGCAATTCTTTGGGGGAAACTGGCCCGAAAGGAAACTTCGAAGGACAGGTGGAATCATAATTAAGATGTGGTAAAAAATATTCAAGAGCCTTTTCTTTTATCCGTTTGCTTCAAGACCCATTGCATTTGTAACATAAACATAAACCTCATGTTTTAAATGTACCGTGTAATGGGTTTTGCGTAGAAAACTGAAATACATAAAGAAAAAATAACCCTCTTCACCAACTCTCACTCGGTTCTCAATCAAGTCGAACTATTTTCAAAATTAATTCCTTAAAAGTAAATAAACTCAGCATATATATGTAATATTGAAAATACATAGTATTGTCTCACCTTGTTTTAGGACTTCAGTCTCACATAAAAACACAATACTCAAGAGCAAAAAAAATGTACAGTTCTCGTTACAGAATAGGAACTACTTCATAGAACAATCTTATTAAAACTTGTGCTTCTGTGTCAATGACATGAATTCATCCATATTGACACCACATAAACATACACCACTAGTTGCTAATTTGCTAAGAGATGTACCAAAAAACAAACCTGAAAGGCACTGGAGGTTCGGTTGGCAAGTAAATCTTCATAAAGATGACTTTTGTTCTTGTTATTAATTCCAAAATAACGCAGTTGTGAAAACCCCCCTACAGTTTAACATAACCACATTGTCTTCGAAGCTTGCGTACGATACAGGATTTTTTCACTATTGTTCCTGGAGAAACGTGAGCATGAAATTTTTGAATGGACTGTCTACTTCAAAAATCTTGATTTTTGCCCAAAGAGATTATTTACTCCGCATACGATTTCTTAGTTGGAAATATTCCACAAACTGCTCTACAGTACAATTTGATTTCTTTAATCACACGTCTTTTTATGGCAACAGGAAAATGAGATTGGATGGCCTGATTCTGGGTTACTGTTGAGAGAATGCATAAACCTGGTAGACTGAGCTTTGCAGTTAGCAAACACCGGTTTTAATGTGTGATAGTTCTCAAGTCTTGTTCTCTTCTCTGATTACAAACAAATCTGGCCAAGGTTTGCTCAGGAGGTATTTCCAAAGCTTCGCCATTTTCTCTGCTACGGCTTAGCTTAGTGCCTTCTTGGAACTGGTCACTCATCCATTCTCCAGCGTCATGAGAAAGAAAGCAGACAGGCCACATCCCACTCATGTGGCTATGGCTTGAAATTGAGCATACACATATGGAAGCCGCCGGGGTAGTGGCTTCGCACATCTCCCATAGACAGGGGTGCCATTTTCAGCCATAACCAAAGTATTTAGTCAGATGTGATCCAAGGAGCAATTAAAGCCAGGGGCAAGGCTGACATACATGCAGCAACAACCCCCAAAAATGCTGAAATATATCAATACTGCAGTTGTGGGTTCTAATACGTGCTTGGAAATATGTCCTCAAATAGCCAACAAAATAAAAGCATTTGATCCTAAAATAACTTTTCATGAAAACAGAAAAACTTCAATTATCAACATACAATTCCAATTGCTGTATCCAAATATTTAGATTTAAAGGTTTTCAACAAAAAATCTCCCATTAATGCAAAGGCAAACAAACCAGTGACATTCAGACACAGGTGTCTATCTGTCTAGCTAATTTGAAGCATTTGTTTGAAGCAAAACCTGAAGGGCAGGTTTCCCTACAAATATTCCGACGTCAAATTTTGCTTTGAACTGGCATTTCCCGTTATCTGGAGAACATTTAAGATTACAAAGAACAAATCTTCATGCCAGTATTAACTACTTCTGTGATACTAAAGGGGGAAATCTAAGTTAAACTTGGTTTGCTGAAAACTTTTCACAAAACTTAAAAAATCAATCTATCAGGTGAATTTTATTTCCTTTTTTCTCCTATTTAAATCCTAAATTTCAGAACTGCTCTCCATTTGCTACAGCAACCATAATTATTGCTCTTCTTAAAGTTCCAACAAAGCATAGAAATTAAACAGTTACCAATATTTACAACAAATGTAATTCCAGCATTCTTGATTACAAAAAAAAAATCTAGTCACCATAATGAATTGTTCACAAAAAAATATCTATACCCGATCAATTTCACAGGGAACAAACACCCCAATTGAATATCTCAACTGAACGGTAACAAAGAGGGGCTTAATGAATCAGGAGAGATTTTGAAAGCGTTGCCCTCAATGCCTAAACAAAAGTGAGTTGCCTTGCAAGCACTTTTGTACAAAAAAGGGTGAACTGCTACGAGAGTTCTTGTGTTCTTGACAGGCAAGTTTTCAAAGAACAGAAAAAAGAATCACATCTCTTACATGGTAGATTCCCGTTATAGCGCCCCCTGATATAACGCTCTTACCAATATAAAGCTCTAATTTCATTTCCCCAGCTGTACACACATTCACTGTGTACATATTTCTGTGGTTATAGCACTCTGGTTTAAAACGCTAACATCCGAACATAATTCACATACATGACATACACATGTGGATACATGTATCCATTACTGTACATGTACATAGAAGTACATGTGCGGTGCACATGGCTGCACGTCCACCCAGTCAGTTATCCTGTTTGTAAGTGACTTTGTCACAAAGGCAGACATGCCAGGAGTTTCTGGATCCCATTGGATGATCGCTGCAGTAAATGGCGATCAATGCATGTAACTCTATGTGCAGTGCGTGAGCAGTGGGTGTGGTTGAAACTGAAGGGATGTCACACTTATGAACCGGATAGACTACCGAAGTGTGACGTCATTGTGAACCAGAAATGCTGTGCAAACAAATGGATTCTGCGCGCGTTGGTCCACCCACTGGTTTTTGCACTAATGCCTTTTACACACTTATATAATTCTGCCTGTGATGTATTCGCTACAGCACTGTGCGGTTATAATACTCAATTCTGTTGGGTCCCCTTGAGAGTGCTGTAACGGGAATCTACTGTAGCTTTAACACTGTTTTCCTGAGACATAGAAATGGCCACTTTTTAAAGTGCACCTACAGAGAACTGTCAAAACAGATTAGCTAACTGCTTCTACGACAAGCTTTCATTAAAACAAGTTTTCAAGCAAACTTATTTCAGAAGTTATTTCTAAATCAATGCCAAAATGCAAAAATTGACATACCCAAAATGTTATGCCATGCTAATATGCCATTTATTCCTTTGGTTCCCGTGGTGTAAAGTACACAGGAGGGTTCATCCAAAAGCCGTTGGTGCCATGAGCCTTTCCATGCACCTGAACCCATATCGACAGAGCTGTATAAATCGACTCAGTCACCACAAAATCATGACAAAGTCAGTCACGAGTTGCTCAGTCCCAAGCCCTGCTGGCGTAAGCGGAGGGGGGTGCCAGTAGGCCCCCCCATTGTTTGCTGGGGGGCCCGGGGGCCACTTTTGGCAGGGTCCAATTATACAGGTAGGTTTGGGCTTGGTCTAATAATGGCTGATGCCTGATGGCTCTTAAATGCCCACCCTCCCACTTGAAAATCGTTCCACCGCCATTGGTCCCGAGTCAACTCACAAGTTGGTTCAATACCATGCGGTTCTGGCCTATTCGTGGACAGACTTTTGAGCTGCCTAGTGATTGACTTGTGACTGACTCAATTTCAACTCTGCCAATCACAGTGATGTCTCAAAGTTCTACAAAATCACACTCACCAAATTACAACATAAATGTTGTGTAACCTGATGACATCACGCTTTGTTTGCGGGTGCTTTCCTGTGGCAGTGAGGTGGGACGTGATCTATAGGGGCTTTGCGTGGTAGCCATCTTGCAGGGCAGTTCTTTAGCTCCACAAAGAAAACCTCCCTTTTGCATACTGCCTGCAATATGGCAACCCTGCAAACCCTCTATTAAACTCCCATCGGAAAGCACACTGGCAAACAGAGCGTGACGTCATGTCTTGGATCCATTAGGATCTGAGAAATTAGTCAGTGTAGTACTAGTAAGATGCAGGGAGCGATTTGACACAAATGTACGTTTGCCGCTTTCTGTTGAATTCTGTACCATATACACTTCATCTCAGTGTCAATTGAGACAGACATGACACCATAATTGAAACCAGTACAAACAGGCATGAATATCAAGCTTTAAAACCATTCTGAATGACGTGCTACCTTAAGATTAAAGCCTACGGTATGTGTACAAAATACATTTTGACAGCAATTGCACATCTTCATGAGACAGGCCTTTCTCAGTAAACATTTGTAAAGAAATGCGTAGGAGGTTAACCACCTCCTGCCGGGTGGATTTTTCTTGAGTGGGATGAGATGACAGGACCTTTTCAAGATTTTCCGTTTTCAAAATTCTTCAAAAATGCTTGTGTTCATTTACTGGGCATTTACACCCACATGAATGACTGTCTGGTGGCTGCTCTAATCTGACAGGCACCTTCATTACCGCCCGAGTATTCAGCCCAGGCCTGCAGCCCTGTAAAAGAGAGCCCAGAATTTTGAGGTGTTGCATAATTTCCTTTGTTCCAATGAATGCCAGTAGCATCTTTTAATACGCGGCTGGATTAGCGAGCAGCGGCGCTGTGTCGCTCATCAATGGGGCCCTGGAGCACTTTTGTCTGCGGTGTAAATCCGCAGTCACGCTACGCCCAAAACAGTGGTACACTGTTTCAAAACAGTGCTGGATTTACATGTACCTTCGAAAAATGGAAGTCGAAAATGTTGGCAATTCCCAGCAGCAGGTCCTTGTTCCAAGTACGGTCTTTTGCTACACAGACCAGCTCTTTTGTCCAAAACCGGGCACCCCGGCTCTGGGCATATAAACACAAGGTGCCTAAGACTGGGCACCCCGGCGGGAAGTGGTCAATATTCAATCTGCAAGAGGAACGCAAACTGACAAACTTTTTTCTGGTGGCCTTAAAAATCGCACGAATTCTGATAATTAAGTTTATTAATTCAGATGATTTATTCATAAATTATTCATTTATCCTCGTAAAAAAAAAAGAACAAAGGAACAACTTAATGCGAGTTAGTATACTGGCAGCCCATATTTGGGTGCCCAATTCGGGCAAAGGGCAGAGGTGTATAACATTCCAAGAGGGGAAAATATGGATCTTTGGCACCTGATTTGCAGTTAACAGCAGAGGATTGACCTCTTCCATGGGGCAGCCATCTTGCTTTTTAACCAACCAAAGCAATGTCGCCAAATTGAGGCTAGAAGGAAAAACAGTCTGTTCCCTTTTGTCAAAATGTGAAGTTGTAATACTGTTGCCAAAGGAGGCTACAGGGAACAAGACAAACATGGCCGCATCATGATAAAGGTCTGTGTGTGAGAAGATGGAGAGAGTCTTGTTGGCAAGGTGAATGCAGATTGCATGGCAATCACCCCTGCTTCCAGTAAATGGGTGCCAGCAAAAATGCTATCGCTCTGGCCCCTTCTGATTCCTTCCTCCCCAAAATGACGGCTTGGGTCAGTATCCCGCAGCTCCACAGCTCAGAACACATCTGTTTGGCAAATTTACGTGCTAAGCGAATATCAGCTGGGAATCAGTCAAGGTGTACACAGAATGCCTTACATTTTGGTTAGCAGCATTTGTTTCGCTTAGCAGCAAGTTTGCTCACTTTTAGCAGATTTCTGTGCTTAAGAATCTGGCCCCACCATCTACATGGATGCTCAGCTCTTTCTTGGTAATATAGCAAGGATATCCTTGTATCTAATGAGCAGCACTAAGAAATGTGACTGTTTCCTTTTTTTCCCCAAGAACTGACAAGGATAGAGACTAAAACTGATCATTTGAATAGTCAAAGAAAAGAGAGAGAAGATAAACAGTCACTGTGAGACGTCTCAAGTTGTCCGTGGTTGTCCAAGTCATGGATAGTGACCCCCGCTGCTAGAGCTTGTACACTCCTTGGAGTTCCTGCAGACAGGTGAAAAAAAAAAAAGTAAATGCCTCAATTTACCCACTCCAATTGGTTGAAAGCCCATCACATGGCCAAAGGAAGAGAATAGACACTGACAATGTCTCTCATCCATTCTCCATTCCGAACTTTACAGCCCCAGCACATACTTATTCCCTTATAATTAAAGGCCAACGAAAAACTGAATTTTCAGGAGAGAAGACACGCGTTCTAGCCCCTAGCCCCCCACCCCGTTAAGATATTAGTTTCCCAACACCAAGTTTTCCTAATTTTTCCAGAAATATATGAGTCGTTTGAAAACAAGCTTGAAAATCAAGTCATTTTCCAAGAATCAAGCCGAGGTGTAATGACACAAGCCAATGACTCGACTCAAGTCCGACTCGAGTCACAATTTTTATTGACTCAACGCGTGTGCCGATGGTTAAATGACTCAACCTGACTCGAATCTCTGTGACCAAATGACTCGACTCGAGTCACCAAATTTAGTGACTCGTTACAACACTGGAATCAAGCAATGTTTATCTAAGAAGAGTTACCTTTCTGGCAAATTCCGGAACTGCAAACGAGGCACGGTGAATACCTGAATTGTAATATTTCAGATCCGAAGCATCTAATTTCCTCAACGGTTCTCTGAAATTGGTATTCTGGGGATTTAGAAAAAGAAAGGACTCATCAAGAAATGTTGTTAGTGGCATTTCTCATCCCTGTAGACACAGGTGCTGCAGCAGCATCACACTCATTCGTCATAAAACTTGGAGCAATCTCATGTTTCAGCACTTCACGTCACATCACCCTGCTGGTGGGGTACCGGCATTCAACACTTATGGGTGCACCCACGTATGTAGGCCAGAAATATGTCCGCTGAGCTCATTAATAAAAGTTATACATCAATAAATTCTATATTAGAGGGTCCTGAGAGCCATGGAACTGGGGAATTGAAGAAATATGACACTGAACCTCTGGGCCGGACTCGGGGCCTCCAATTCTGAGCAACTTGGATGCAATCGGGTCCGAAATGGCACTACTTTAGCCGTTTTGCAGAGGGATGCATTTTCAAAATGGCTACTTTTCCGGGCAGTGAAATTTCCTTCAATTTAGGGGTGGTCTGCTTTGGGTGAGAATTTCTCCAAAATTCCATTGGTCAACTTACGAAAAATTGAAAAGAGAACGAAAGAGGACATGTGGTACATCATTTTTCTGTGCAGCCTGAACACCTGTGAGAGTTGTGAGTATTTTTGGAATACTTGTGAAGTATGGGAACTTATTTGTAGGGGTGCACCCTCAGGCCAACTGCACTTCAGTGGTCCCATCATAGTAAGTCTTTACAAATCGTTCAACACCACGTGAAGTCACAAACTATTCGGTTGGACTGCGATAAGGAGGAGGGTTCCTTTGACTTCTCCCACTGTTTCATGACCTTTGACCTGCCATCCAACCTGACCTTTGACCTGGCTTTTGACCTTACGTGTGACCCAATGCCTGACCGGAGTAATTACCTGATCTGGAACCTAATTTGTTACCTGCCTGGTAACATAACCTGTGGTATGACTTACACGTATGACGACCTGGCAAATGACCGGTAGCTTGACTTGTTACCTTATCATGACCTGACACAAGATCGAGTGCTCGTGACTGAGGCAATTACACCTATGCTCAATGAGTCCACAAAGGTAAAAAAAAGCTCACATCTCTCAAGTTACTCCATTCAAGCCCAATCACCAGCCCCCACTTCTGTCCAGAGTTCCAATGAGTCAATGACTCGACTTGAATCTGACTTGAGTCGCCATTTGTGGTGGCTCGACTCAAGTCCCAACTGGTACATGCCTGAACTCAAGTCCCTGCAGGCAAGTAAAACTCAACTCAAGTCACATAAATTAGTGACTCATTACACTCTGCTTCTGTCGCCCGTACCATGTCACGTTTAGCAAAAATGTGGACTGGAGCCACTCAATCCTAGGACTCACCCGGTCGAGGCTGCACATGACAAAGCCTTGCATGTCAGGGAAGGAGGGGATCATGCACATGTTGTAATCCACCACACTGAAGAATTCGCTGCACATCTCCATGACTGTGTGAACACACTTCAAGTCATTCCACACCGACGGCTCTGATGGAAAACAAAGTTAATACCTAAATTTACCCACTGGGTTTAATTGGCAAATACTGCACTTTTGGGTTTTTTTTTAGATACTAGCAAAACCTTTCTCACAGGCAATACGGATATGACTTACATTTTTGTTGGAACCTGCTGAGGTTTTACTGAAAGATAATTTTTTTCTGTTTTTGCTTTTCATGCTCTGAGCAAAATTCTCTTCAAATCTCATATCGGGCTAACCACTGGTAGTTGCTATATATTCAAAAAGAGGGATATTAAGCTCATTCAATTTCTTTTTCCAATCACAAACTTGCTGTAATTTTCTCAAAAATTTCTTAAACTGAAGCGAAGTTTTTTCAAAATAATTTTACAAAATGAAAAATTCATAATCCAGAATATTGTCTGATGGCCAAAATAGTGAATATGATTACCTCTCTAAATCTTAACAAACAATCATCATCCACAGCTGACACCAAGTAATACTTTGTTCATTGGAAAAAAAAAAGTCCGTCACAGCACCCACCTTGCGAGATGAACATGCCATTGGGCTTCAGGGCCGCTTTCAAGAGGCCAAAGTACTCCCTGGAGTAGATCTGGCTAGTCAAGTCGTTGGCACCCGTCCGGTCTGGAATGTCGTTGATGATCAGGTCAAAAGCCTGCTGGTGCTGCTTGACAAACTGGAATCCGTCACCGATGTGCACCGTCAGCTTGCTGCTGCTGAAGCCCTTGGCCATGGATGGCATGAACTCCTTGCATGCTCTGATTACCTCCTGGGTACGTCAAGTAACAGGCCAATCAGACAAACTAACAACAGACTGTGATCATGTGACAGCCATATTGAACTGAAAATGAGGTAAAAGCTTTAGGGGGGGAACCTGAGTGTAAAAATGACAGTGACGAAATAAAAGTTCAACGTAAAATTCGTGCCAGTTTTAATTTAGAATAGTTTAAAATTTGTGATAAATTTAATTAGATATCAATGTTTAAAATCATATTTAAAGAACTGAAAGTGAGTTTTGGAATCAAAATAGTCTGGTACCACCCCATTCAACAGACCACACTGAATATGACAGATTCAGGGAACAAGGAAAAAAAATTGCTTCCCCATGAGTAAGGTCTACCGGGACCAAAAACATTTGTTGCGCTTTGGTGAATGGTTGGGCAGTTTCTGCAGCCTCAGTTTCTGCCTTTGTGACATCACTGCTCCATTCAATAAAGACCCCAAGGCTGGAGTTGGTTCATCGACGGTTCAAAAATGGTGAAATATAAGCGGACAATTTCTTGTCATCCCCAAAATAAGTGAATTATTAAGTGTGCCCAAAATTTGTGGTTGCCTGCAATGAACCAAATGGTTACTTTCCAGTAGAAAATTAAAAGAGAAACGACAGAACAGCAACAGAGAGAGATCTTGCCGAATAATTAGTGAAAATGATACTTGTCCGTGCTGTAATCTGCAAAACATTGTCTCTCCCAGATGACGTAAGCATCCAATCCGATTTCACAGTTTTTGTGGACAACCAGTAGCTTCAACCTGTTGCTAGTTACAGCTTTCACATCACAAACATAACATGTTCCTCGTTCGGTTCACAAAAACACACTCCTGTTAAGGGCTAGGCTGTAACAATTCACAGCCTTGTGATATCGCAATGCTGAGATGGGGACTCACACAAAATCTACACCATGGTGCTTCTAGGCTGTGAATGGGCGTTGGCATAGACAGATTGTTCATGGACCTCTTTCCTTTGCATTATAAAACAATATACATGTATGGCTGGCACACGTCTGCTAATACACTCGCTACACCTCAAAAAAAGTAAAACGCTAAGTACCGCGCCCTGTAAACTTTCACTTCCTGTTCTCGCAATTTACTCCATCGTGCATGACCGAGTTGAAAAAAGGATGTCTCGGGAAAGAACGGGTTATTTATACACATGTACGTTCTAAAGCAATATTGGCAGAAAAAATGAGGCCTTTCATCGCCCTGCAGCAAACTAACAAACTGACCAATAATGGTCAGGGGTAGCAACACGTTTATGTACACATAACCATCCAAACAAGGACAATGTCTTACCTCGTCAATTTCGCAGAGGGTGATCTGTTCCACCTCGGGATGCTTAGACAGTTCACGGATGACGCCCCCATCCCCACCGCCGACGATGAGCACCTGCAAGGCAGCGAGGGAAGACAGCCAATTCAGCAGTGGCCTACCCTGCTTTGGGGGCTTGATGAGTTGGCAAATTAGTAGGCCCAAAAGTTTACACAAAAATTTCTCGATCACTTTTATAATTTCATTATTTCAAGAACGGATGCACTTAACAACGCATTTCTCATTCCTGTAAACTAGGTTACAAGGAAGGTTTATTCAGTAATATCATGACCAGTCTTTGAGATCCTCAAAAGGGAATGGGTAATTCCAGAAAATAGGGGTCCATTTTTTTTCATGTCCCAGTCACATTTGTAAGTTCAGAACACATTTTCTAATTTCCAAGAGGAATAAATTACCTGCCAAACAAAATAGTAACAGTTTTGAAATCAATTCCAGTGATACTTCCATGCCAAGTAAGAGAGGTCAGATGTAACAGGGACACAAAAATGTCACACCTTTGGCCCCCTAATTTCTCAAATTACCAGAATATCCTTCCGTGAAGCATCTGCAATATATTTTCATCCAGCATTGGGGGGGGGGAAGGAATTTGTGTCTGGTTTGTCCAAGATCTTTTGGTGTGAGAAGTTTTTACTGGCTCATCAGAAACTTCTGAAAAGAAACTGGTATTTTACAGATCGTGGACTTCAAATAATCAAACAGAGGAACATATACCAATAAATTAACACACCCTTCAAATGATTGAGCGACCAAATACTAGTTACAGGCCTCCAAAGAATCTTTCTCATAAAGTGGACCCAGACATTGTCCATAAAACTGTTTTGAGGGGGGGCAGATGTGGGTGCTGCCAGCTTTGATAGAACTGTTAACATAGTGGACAAAGTCTGGTCCCTTCAGTAAAACCCATCAAGTTTTGAAATGGCTCATTCACACGTATTTCTTTTGATTCTATTTTATTTTACATGTACGTACATCCAACAGTGTAAGCAGCAAGTACAGGATGATTGGACATGTAAATGACAGCAAAGAACACCATGAAACAATGTCCAGATTTAGAGATGGGAGGAAAAATCCTGGATGAATATTCATGGGGGAATTTAACCAACGGAATCGGGCAGGGACTTCAAAACTAAGTCCACGCCTACCCAGATGTACAATGTAATTACAAAACTTCAGGTTGTAGAGAGGAAAGTATCTCTGTGCCTACCTAAATCTCCTAGCAATGAATTGGAGGGAGGGTTTTTAAGAAAGGGCATGGTGACACCTACTTTCTTGGGGTTAGGGTGGCATGCCATGGGCACATGAGCTATCATCTCTTGGTAGCCAAACTCGTCCTTCTCTGCGCACTGCACATCTCCATCCAACACCAAGAGTTTCCCGCTGTTTTTACTGCAAGAGGGGAAAGACAACGAAAATTCTTGACATGAACAGAAACACCTTGTGGGAGAAACTGTTTCAACGTGCAGTCCTCCTGATGTGAGGCATGCAAGTTACCCTCTGTGTTTCACTGTAATTGTATCTTAACCCATTTAAAAGATCCACTCACTGTACTTTTATGATGATTATGAGTGTGAAATTTGGAACAGGACAATAAACAACTCCTTTCTGTGAGCTCTTAAAATAGCTATAATCACGACTGTCCCCAACAGCATCAAAGAGACATCTAACTTCTAGGAGCCACCTTGCCTAGGTCTCAGTCCCAGCCTGGAAAATAAATTTTGCGCTCGGCCAACTCACAAGCCTAGAAAAATCCAGGTGTGCTTTTTCCCACATGCCTGTGATTCTCAAAATAGAATGACTAAATTCACACCCATAAACCTCAAGCCCCGAGCTTGAGTTTAAGGCCTTCAAGCACAGCCCCCAAACCCAACTCTGGTTACAGTGTACATCCAAGCGTACACTTGTCTGTCTGGTTCATTGAATCCGCATACAAAATGCCCTTTGGATAACAAACATACCAGGTACCTGGAACTACAAAGTACCTTATCCATGAAAAGTTTTCATCCTCCGGTTGACTTGTCCCCGATGAAATAAAAAATTCACCAATTACAAACATGAGCACGTTGGGCAAACAGCTATTGCAATTCACAAACCACATGCCGCAGGTTTTTAGCCTTTTCAAAATGATTCTGCCGGTTCTGGCCAACCTACTGGTAACTGATGGCACGGTGCATTGTACCGTACATTCATACATGATGAGACTATAAAGAAAATACACACAGTACACCTAGCCTGATCGAGGTGATTCACTGTAATTTGTTCTTTTTTTTTTTTTTAATAAAACCGTATGCACACTTTCTGCCTGCACTAGCTGATGGCTCAGTATTGCATGACGGTACAAGATGAGACTACTGTACAAAGGAAATATACGCACAGTACACCTAACCTATTAAGGCGATTCACTATGTATTTAGCTGTTCCCAATCTCAATTGGGAACAGCTATTGTAATTGTTAAAGTTTTTTTTTCGTTTTTCTTTCTTTTTCTACTGTTGTTTTCTACAAGGCACTTTGGCAATTATTTTAAGTCCAATCAATTTCAAACTTGGTATAGTAATTAACTATCATCAGAAGATGTGCCATGAAACTTTTTGTAATCGTGACGTCATCAGGGGTCACGTGACCTCAATTCAAAAGATCATTCTTTACAGTCTAATAACTAGTAAACTATTTGACCGATTTAACTCAAATTTGGTATGACCGTAGTCAGGGATGTGTTATAAATGAAAATTGATATCTTGACTTCATGTAACCTCTACTTATGGTTTGACCAGAAATTGTATTTTAACACAAAAATCGTCATATATCATGAACTATACGTTCAACTGCAGTGATAATTTGTTTTTCGTTATACATGCCACTTTGGCAATTATTTGTAATCCAATTCATTGCAAACTTATGATACTCGTTGACAGTCATCAAAAGACAATAAAACACATTTTGGGGACAGCTATGTGTTTGTTCACAAACACATTTTCTCTTTTTTTTTTCAATAACGTAGTATACGCACAGTCTCTGCACACACCTACAGCTACCGGTATACCCCGGTACACTGACTTGAGGTCCGCAACTGCAGGGTTCACGGCTGTAAGAGACATACCAGTGTCATCCTTAGAAAGGAGTCTGTGAGAAAAATATTTGGCTTCAACAGGCATGTAGAAGAGGTGAACGTCTGCGATGAAAGCATGTCACTCAAGGCACAGACATTCTGAACACGGGCGGCTACAGCAGCTTGTGCACGATGGCTCTGCTCAGCTGCTGTGCCCTCCCTTTGTACCTAAGTGTACATGTACATGAACATGCATGTATATATTTTGTACACGTACATCCATAGTATATGATTTTGTTGTTAGTGTGACAAGTGCTGAAAACAAATACTGCCCCCCCCCAAAAAAAACAGGTGGGCTACCACATCAAATTGATCCCAACTGTGATGCCACAGGTGGGCTTGCAAGTATCATTTGTTAATTACCGTAAAACCCTAACCATCTCATCAACTCCATCAACATCCACCATTTTGGGGGAGTTTGATGGACTGGTCCAAAAGGCCTGAGGTGACCAAATGTTGACCTGAGGCCTAAAGCACTGCCCATGCATTCAGTGCATGTTGTCGTGGCAACAGTGCTTGTGACATCATCACGTAAGCCATGTACAGGAAGTCCACCAACAAAGACCTTCACATTAGTGCTGGACTTTGCAGCAAGCAATGCAAGTTCCACATGAGGTGCTGGATTCTGATGGATTTGGTCAATCCAAATTGATTTGCCTTGGGCTATTAAAAGACACTACTACATGTGGTAGTTTGAAAATCAACTGAGGTGTCTACTCATTCGGTTGCATTTACACTCTTGAAAAAGAACACACAAGAGGAAAAATACCTAAAATATGTTCATCCGCACTCTCTTACCCTGAAAATGTGTGGATTAACACTTGTGTGATAGCTCCAGAGTAAAATTTCCTTTCAGAGTTTTAGGAGTTTGTTTCACGGATAACAACTTCAGTTGAACTTGTGAAGTTTATCTAAGTCAATTTGTAACAAGGGGCTGATCTTATTTACTTCG